CCTGCTGTGAGGTTCCTGAGCATTGGAAAGAGGTCCCCAGGGCGAAGGGTCGAACCTGCCCCTGTGTGGTCTTCCGGTCCCTCCAGGTCGCTCCATCCACAAACCCGCTGTCCACGGGGATCCTCTGCAGCGTCAGGTCGTCCCTTGTCCTTGGAGTTCAGCACGTGTCTCCCGCGCTGGTGAACGCCTGCATGTCGCCAGGACCCCGCCAAACATGGCCTCCCTGGGGAACTCCGCCAGCTTCTTTGGGAATTCTAACCTTATTTTCCCTCTACTTCAGAGGCGCCCGGGACACGCCTTTGTCGGGACAGCTACCCACACGGTGCCGTGACCACTCATCGGCTTCCTGGTGGACGTCTGCTCCCTGGGTGAGGGGACCATGTTTCTTTCCTCCCTCTGTCCGTACGGGACCTCATGCCTGGCTCCTACCTGCTGTTGGTCTAAAAGTCGTGCTCATCTGAAAAGTCCTGTGTGAGGGCAGCTCTAGGGGTATTCGTTTTCCTTACCTTCTCCTACTCACCCGTGGGAAGTTGTTTGCAATAGTGATGAGGGGTAAGACGAGAGAGTGGGGCCAGGACACTGGGATAGAAAGCAATAACCACAAGACTATAAGGAGGGGAAAAAGAAACCGTATCAGGAAAACACCTAATATCATTGTCAAGATTCTGGTTGACGTTAAACCTGAGCTTCCTGGCCGTCTAGACAAAAGGGAAATCCTGCATTCTAGGGGGAAGAGGGATAGGACTCATTCAGTGCAGGCTGACATGCCGTGTTAGCAGCAAGATGGGAGGCTTTGGAGCCCAGGTGGGACCGACCTCCCCTGTGCTGGAGGAGGGAAGCCTTTTGGGAGGGGCGACATCTGATTTTATTTTCTTATTTTTAAATTATTATTATTATTATTATTATTTTGGTACTGGAAATTGACCTCAGTGGTATTCGACCACCGAGCCCCATCCCCAGCCCTATTTTTTTGTATTTCATTTAGAGACGGGTCTCACTGAGTTGCTTAGCGCTTCACCATTGCTGAGGCTGGCTTTGAACTCTCCATCCTCCTGCCTCAGCCTCCTGAGCCGCTGAGCTGAGTTTTAAAGATGGAGTTTGGTTGGACAGATGGGAGCTGGGAGGTGGGGCGGGGGGACCTGGCAGTGTGCACATTGCGTGCGCAGGCTGGGAGAAGTGCAAGCACTGTGCACTGGAGAAGTGGCAGGTGATCCAGGCAGACGGGGGCACAGGGCGGGGGTGGGGTGGCGAGCAGGCGAAGTCTCAAGGTTAGCAAGCAAGAGCCAGGCCCCGCAGGATCACCAGACGCCCACGGGCCTTGGTGCTGGGTTCCCTGGGGCAGGCAGCAGGAGATAGGGCAGACTTCCGGGTGGATAAGAAGATCCATCCTCCTCCAGTCTCAAAATGCAGGAAGGCTCCTCGCAGGCCTCTCCTTGTCCCCCACCAGGGCCAGCTCTGCCCTGCGGGGAATCCGCACCGGCCCTAAGTTTCTCTGCTGCACGCCGCGGAGCCCTTTGGAAACACTGGAGCCTGAACTGACATCAATTCTGCTGAAAGGGGGAAAATTAATTAAAAGTTTTCGAGGGCTCTGCCTGTGCGCTCCCTGTTTTCCTGTTATCGGCGACACTGCCTTTTCTCTGGCTGGGAGTCAGCGCAGCTAACATTTTCATGTTGCTCGTGGGGTAATTATGTCAGATCTATGAGAGGTGAGAGCGGCCGTCGGTATCACTGTGATTAATCTCCATAGGTCCCCGCATTTCAACCTGCCTCAGAAGACTGGGTTTCCTACACTCTGGTGCAGGGGAGGGTTCGGGAGGCGCTGTGAGGACTGAGGAGTCGAGATGGAGGTGATTCTGGTTGGGAATATCCCAGGCCTCCAGAGGGCCCACCAACCCCAGGCTCCAGTCCCTACAATCTCTCTAAGGCTTGAAGGTGCATCTGGGGTGCAAAGCGCAGTCCTACGCTCTTCTTTTCCTCTTGTACCCCAAACACACGGAATCAGTGTTACGACTCCGGCTGAGGACGTCACCAATGCGTCCTTCTGTACTTAACGATTCTGGACCTTTGCGCTAGCGAATGGGGAGCACAGCCGATCCTTTGCAAGCCCCAAGTCAAATACGGACCTTTTCCAAGACGGCGTTGGAGGAGACGCGGGGCTAAAATCCACCTTGACCATGACGTTGCACAGCAGTCGGGGGACCGTAGTTCACGACCCATTATATATTTTATAAAAGAGAGCGGTTGGAAGCCTCCTGACACAGGCAAGGGATGGAGGAGTGAGGAGAGGAAAGCGTTCCGTTCATCACCCTGATTGGGTCATTATACTCTGCTGCCAAATCGTACACATGTTGGATCACCACACCATGCCCCAGAAATACGTGTGATTATTAAGAGTACATTAAAAAGTAAATTTAAGCAATGACCTTGAATGACCAAAGGAGACATAGAATCTCCTCCTTGGATTTCTTTTCAAATGTGAAATATGGATCGTTTCTTTCCACCCAAGGCAAGATGGCCCCCCAAAAGGAAATCCCAGTGGAGTCTTGACACAGGCTGGGGATGGCCCCTGCAGAGGGAACAGAGTCCGCAGCTGGGGCCCTGGGCTGGGGAAGAGGGAGGTGCTGTCCAGCCTCACCTCCTCCCGGGGCATAGGACCGCCAGCCAGCACTGCCCTCCACGCCTCCCAACACGGGGAAGGGCGTCCAGGTGACGCCTCCTGCCTGCACCTGTCACATCCCACAGGGTCCCAGCCCACCCAGGTGCTTCCTTCTGGCCGCCTTGCTGCCCTGGCCGGAGCTGCCCGCTCTGGAAGAGATCCCTGGGGCAGGGTCCGTGCTGGGCCTTGGGCCGTGACTCTTCTGCCGTCTCCGTCGTGGCCACCCCCGTTGGCCTCCCAAGCTGGGCTCTGGGGTCCTGCAGAATCCCAGAATCTTCCCCATTCCCAAGAAGAGCCGTTCTGCCAAGTAGCCCCCTCCAGAGACAGGCGGGGGACGCGTGGGCCCCGTCAGGTCCCCTGGCTCTCTGATGTGTCGATGGCAGGAGTGAGATTTTCATTAAAACGGGCTGCTGTTTCTCACTCGTTTGTCACGTTTTTTAATTTATATTTTAAAGCGTTAATACCTCCGACGCAATCAGTTATCTTCTGGAACGTCGAATACACGTAAACGTGGCACTGGCAGAACAGCTTCCCGTGGCAGCCGAGGGAGGAGCTGGTTCCTGGTCGTGGCTGACTCGGCTTCCCGGGGTGTCCTTGCTCATCGGGCCTTCTTCACCCGAGGTACCATCTGGTACGGCCTGGGGTGGCCGTCTTGTTAATGATGTCCCCTTCCTTGTGCTGTGGGTTTATTTTCTTTTCTATTTGGCGCTGGGGACTGAACCCAGGGGCACTGTACCACGGAGCCACATCCCCAGCCTTTTTTATTCTTCATTTGGAGACAGGACCTCTCTAAATTGCAGAGGCTGGCCTTGAACTTGCAATCCTCCAGCCTCAGCCTCCCGAGGCACTGGAGTCGCAGGTGTGGGCCACCACGTCTGGCTACACTGTTGCTGTGAACTGTATGGTGCTCTGGGCGGGACCCTGGGGCTTCAGAGGAGGCACAACTGGTCCAAGGCGCGGTGAACGCAGAGTCCTCCTTTGTAAGAGGGGCGTAGCACCAGCACCAAGGTCATGGTCTCCCTGTTCCCCCGTGACTTTGGATGAGAGATATAACGGCCCAGCGTATAGCAGGTGACCGGTACATGGTGGGGGCCGTGGCCACACGTAGGAGCCGCCCCTCCAGGGTCACCCCCTCTCCGTCACGCTCCCCTCCCCCGTTCCTGCTCTAGGGGAGTGGCTCCTGGGTCTCCCAGGTCCCGGAAATCTAGATCCACCAGCGGGGAGGATTTGGAGCGAAGGGGCACAGGCGTCCTCGGACATCTGCCACCACCAAGGAGGGCAGCTTTGTTCGTGTGTGTGACACGCTCCCAGGGACACCCCTGTGGTGACAGAACACCAAGCTGAAAGGCGGGGAGGCAGCTGGGGAGAGCTCGGTGCCCCACACGATGTCACGGTGCCCCACACGACGTCTCCAGGCCCCACACGACGTCTCCAGGCCCCACACGACGTCACGAGGCCCCACA